TGTGGGCACACTGCATGGCACCTGATCCATCTGCGGTCAGCTGTTATAAGATATCCATCCTAGTAGCTGTGACACAGTATAGCAACAATATTAACATTTTCCAGTAACTCCAGACCGATTAGGAAATTAAATCTTTGATGTGTCTGAATTTTCTCACTTATCATTCTTTAATCTCTAACGTTTCACTGTCGCACTGCTGACAATCACTCACGAGATCCCAACGCGCATCCAGTTCCTACGCAAACTGGTAAAACTAGACATCACCTGCGCACTGTCACGTACCTGCTGAAGCTCCCGTGATAATGGCAGTTTTTCCATCCAGTCTCCTGGTAGACTTGCACCTGCCTGAACCACGTGTGTATAAGACGCCTATCACCAACCCAGCCACCAGGGCTATCGTCCACGCCACGACATTCGTCCAGACAAATGCCCAGACCCACGGACCTACCATCGTGCCTGAGGAGTGTTCACCATTACGTTAGCTCTGTGAGTTGGGAAACAGATGTAGTGAATGTAATGATGGCGATGATGATGATAATGATCATTAGCATCAACATCTAAGTGGTACTCATCAATCCTTGATATCAATATCACTTCTATATATATCTTTTTTATCTATACCACTATGTTGTTATTATGATGTTAATAACGTAAATTGTTAATATCAGTATTGGTAAAAATATCAGTAATGACATGACATATGTCATTAGTACTGTTACAATTATTATTATTATTATTATTATATTATTAGCTATTATTATCAGCGCATTGTCTTAAAGGGTATTTAGTGGTTATATTACCGTCAAATTGTTGTTAATATCATGATGATGAAGATAATCTTGTTGTTATCTGTCATTTCAGCATTATATCCTTCTATGTAAAAAATGAATGAAGTTGATAATGTCAGGATATAGGAATATAATCTACGCAAATAATGTGACCATAATAAAGAAAGATTGAAAGAATTTTTAAAAAATGACAAGAAGGCAATGAACAGACGAGGACTACAGGGGTAAGGGGGAAGGGGAGGATGATGAGGTTCCCCAGATCAAAAAAGATTTTTACCTGCGATTATGAAATGAGAAATGAGTAACATTCATTCGCAAATGATAAGTAAAAGTGAGTCAGGGAATTCTAGTCATTCATTTTAGAGTATGGATCTTCAAACTACTAAAATAGGAAAAGGAGCCAAATATCTGCTTGAAGAATGACGCTTTCGGAATTACACGACAATTAAAAAGCCGTGAACCATCGCAGACAATGCATAACCATCACTCTCCTCAACTCACAAACACCACGTCTAAAACACATGAATTCTAAGCAGGTGCGAAAAGACTTACGAATGTGAAAAGTTAAGTTTCTTGGTCTTCAAGATCGTCAGAAGAGCAGACAACCTCAAGACAGCTGTGAATGAGTCAGTCGCAAAGGCTCTTGCTAAAGACGAGGTCCTTCCCCGTCCTTGGGCTAGGCGCTACTGAAACCACCAACCTTCTGTGCCCTGGCGTGACTTCTGGTTCTCGGGGTTTATGTAAAATGTTGGGGGGGCAAAGGAGGAGCATGAATAAGAGGAAGGGAGAGGGGGGAGGGGGAAACTAGCATACGAGGTAAAATGTCTGTCTGAAAATTGATAGATAATTACGTAACTAGAGATATATAACAGTGTCCTAATGAAGGTAATCATAAACCTGATGAAATCAATCAATCATATGTATAGCATTAGAATTTTTTTTTAATTAAAAATGAAATTCCAACTAGTCGCAGATCCATTTGCTAAAAGAATAATCCCTTAAAGTCATAGACTGGTCCTGAGCCCGAGATCAGGCTGGGAAAAGGAGAAAGAAAGGAAGAAAACAATGTCAGCGTTATCATATATTTGGCTTTGGTAATAAGTAAAGGAAAAAAAATGATAATGATGATAGTAGTAATTAGAGTAGAAATGATCATTACCAATTGTTTGCATAGGTGTAGTAAAAAGGGGGCGAGCCAGGGGAGCGACTGCCCCCACTCTACAAAGAGTACAGTTCCATATTACCCAGTTGTCGAGAACATTGACCCCTGCAATTGGCGTTCAAAATGAAATAACCATTATGTCAAGTATTTTCTAAATAAAAAAATCAGACATTTTAATGCAGAAATTATTTTTATTTCTTTGCAACTGCTAAAATCCAGGATCCGCGGCTATTTTGGAGGGGAACCTACTTTGCTCCCCACTTCAAAATATTTTCCTACACCTATGGTATGTATAGAAGGTCATGATCAAAGTCAGTATCATGAGTCTTAATTGCGGCTTGTTCCTGTAAACGAACCTGTCGTGACCAAAAGCGGTGAGGTTTGTGGTAAGATTAGGTTTTGCGATGCTACTGGCGAACGGGGAATTATTGATTTCTAAAATGAAATTCGAAAACATATGACTATGTAGATATACAAATACACAAGAAAAATCACTTCCACTTTGCCTTCAGTGATTTAATAAAAATGTACATACCTGTTATACTGTACAACGCCACAGAGATATAGGATATAGTAAGCACATTAAAAACAATGGTACAAAAAAACAGTGCCACCTGAACACGCAACTTGAGACAAATGATATGTAACTCTTGCAATTTGATACTTAACCCGAGCAGGTGTTCCCATTCACTCCCTCCTCTGTCCTTTATTTTCCCGGAAACATTTTCATTCTCATTTCGGTTTCAAAACTGACATTATATTTGAGGGGAAAAGGTAATTCAGATATGATAATCATGGAGTAGATTACTAGGGACTTGTTTGTTCTATATATTCTTTTAGATCAAATGCGCCGCGGTTTGGGATGGAGGGAGGAGGAGGGGGTGGCTGCCACACTCGCCCTGATGCTGTTTCTATCGGTTGCTCATTTAGTCAGATATTTAGGAAATGTGGGTTTAATGGAGGGAAGTACCCTGTAGATGCTGCTTGACAGATACTCAAAGATGAATGTGGTCAAAGATATAGAAGAGGGAAAGAATTAGCTAATTTTATCTGATGTCTTACAAACACACATCCTGCTTCAAATACGGCATAAAATCACTCGCCAAACCCAGGCGGAAGGACGATGGATTTTACAAGACTTCGTAATTTACTGGTCTAGAAGCTTTGCAATGACCACTGCAATGTTCTCAGTTTGATATTGGATTTAAACTATATGCATCGATGCATCAAAACCATGTCATATGTTTGATTTAAGATCATAAATGAATTTTATGCTGTTACATGTATTACTGTTATTTTTGGAATAAGTAATAAAATGCAGTAATGGTTTTGCGTTGATGCCAATGGGAGGACACACACACACACACACACACACAATAAACAATAAAAATACACATATGCAAAATAAGGTTTACCTTGTAATGTTGAGAGGCTTTGAGGAAACTGGAAACAACATTGGGTGGTGAGGGTACTTTTGCAAGGCTCCTATGGACGAGTCGAAGAAAAGACTTATAAGAAGATGGCGACTTCACATTATGCAACAATGAACATAGCAAGTCACTGAGCCTGGATGATAAGCCAACACACCAGAAAAAGCTGAGCACCCGACATGCCAGAAAAAAGGGAAATATTTAGGCAAAATCTCAATGGACTAAAGACCCTAAAGCACTGGGATTGTCATGCATATAAAGACATTAGTTCCATAGTAATCAGACTGGAACTTAACACTATGGAGAGTAGAGCCTCAGCAGTTAATAAGAAATAAAGAATGGCACACATCAATCTGATTCTCAACCTTAACGCGTAGGGGCTGCCAGACAAGGGGACCTCCATATAATACCGGTCGCCAGATATACTTACCTTCTTAAATGGCGCTACAGGTGCCGCAAGTTCAGGTGCAGGAATTGATGCAGTTCAAGATTTGACATCTGCATCAAATGAGGACAAGCCAAGCCCAAGGACCATATAACAACAGGTTTGTGTGTGTCAGAGTCAAAGACGATGGTGTTTAGGAAGGACGACATAGAATCTGGGAAGAGCTATGACAGAACAATGTAACTGGCACCACAGAAAAAATAAAACACATCTGTAAGACATGGAAGATCAGAAAACCCATGCCCACCATACTAGGTCCTAAACATGTGCTGTAATGCCCCCACCCCCCTCAAGAAAAAAACTCTAGTTTCCTGTAAATATTAAACAACCTAAAGTAGGAACAACCCAGGAGGTCTTTGGAAAGACATATGCTCTGATGATCAAGTAGGAAACATACAGGTGAGTTTGGTCTTTGGAGGGAGTCAAACTTTCTGTAGAAAATGAAGATAAATAATTCCAGGAAAAAGGAAATGCTATACCTATCTCAGTGACTACTTAAGGTTGTGCAATACTATTTGTTTAAATGAAATTTCTTGGCAGGTAAACTTAGATGCAGATGGAGCAAAGATGGGCATCTCGGCTAAGAATACTATCATCATCATTGTCATCAAATAATTAGTGACACAATGGTAAGGTGAGGTCCCACAATACTTGATAGGAGATTAGCATGACAACCTGGGTCTACTAGATAATAACAGAAGATGCCAACTACCAGGGACTCTGGTTTAGCATAAGAAATACAATTCTCTCTTTAAGAAAGAAAAGCCTCCAGGAACCACTGTACCCAAAGTTAGGCACAGCTATCCCCATGCTTCAGTGAGGATATGGTGGGGGGGGGGGTGAATCCATGGCAAAAAGAAGAGGAATTCACCTCCAGTTTCACCATGAAAATTGGAAAAGTAAGCAGAAGCTGAATACTATACATCAAACAAGACAATAATTTTCTTATTGCAATGGTATTGCCAAGGAATATATTAGATATGGGGAAAGTGCAACATATAAGCCTTTTTGAGAATATATAAGCCTTTTTGCCTATGTCTACAAAGAATCATGAGTAGGGAAAACAAGGTGAGAGGATGCCAAGCCAAACTTTCTGTAATAGATCACGCAAGTTATGGGAGTAACAATTTTCTGATTTTGCTGAAAAAGTGTATGGGGTAATCAAACGAATAAAC